AGTTTTCATTAAAAAAAATCTATATAAAATATTCTGTTTACGTTTACAGGATTACTCATTTGTATGAATGTCAACACTTATTAATCCTCTTCCAAATGATATTGTTTGTTTACCTCTGTAGCATTCCGCTACTTGGAAATAATTCAGTCATCCTTATAATGTCAAAGCGAGAATTTCGTACGATTTTCTTTTACGAGTTTAAACTCGGCCGAAGCGGAGCCCAAACGGCTAGAAACATTAACCAAGTCTGGGGCGAGGGTTGTGTTAATGAGTGCACTGTGCAAAGGTGGTTTAAAAAATTTCGGGAGGGAGATTTCAGCCTTGAAGATGAAGAAGGTCGTGGAAGGCCTTCCTCTCTTAATGATGATGTTCTGCGATCAGTGGTGGAAGAAAACCCCAAAACAACTGTTCGAGAACTTGCAGAGCAACTCAAAGTCAGTAAAACGACCGTCGCTGACCACCTCAAGGCGATTGGAAAAGTGAAAAAACTCGAAAATTGGGTTCCACACTCATTAAACGATCGCCAAAAAAATCAGCGCTTTGATGTTTGTGCATCACTTCTTTGTCGAAACAAAAATGACCCATTTCTGGCCAGAATTGTTACATGTGACGAAAAGTGGATTCTCTACGATAACACTAGACGTTCTGGACAGTGGCTCGACAAAGGAGAAGCTCCAATACATTTTCCAAAGCCCCCAACTCATCAAAAAAAGGTAATGGTTACGGTATGGTGGGCTTCATTTGGTTTAATACACTACAGCTTCTTAAATCCTGGCGAAACCATCAATGCTGAATCATACTGTAACCAAATTAATACCATGCATCAGAAATTGGCAGTAATGAAGCTCTCTTTGGTCAATCGGAAAGGGCCCATTTTGTTGCATGACAACGCTCGACCACATGTGTCACGTGTAACGTCACAAAAATTATTGGAGCTTGGCTATGAAACTTTGCCTCACCCACCCTACTCTCCGGACCTCTCGCCTACTGACTACCATTTTTTTAGACACCTGGACCACTACTTACAACACATAATATTCAAAAATCAAACGGAACTGGAAAATGCATTTATTGACTTTATCAATTCTAAAAATTCTGAATTCTACTCAGACGGAATTAATAAGTTACCAACACGTTGGGAGAAATGTATTGAGAGTATGGGAAATTATTTTGATTAAAGAACATTGCTTTAAAGTAACTAGTTTCTTTTTTTTTGTTTAATACCAAAATCCTGCATTATTTTCCGGACAACCCAATATAGAGGTAAAGTTTGGTAACTAATATACCAAAATCTTAAAAATGTAGAAAAAGAAGCATCGATAGCCTGAAATATTGATGTATCAATAGTGTCGATATAGTAAAGTTTTTAGAATTATTAGAGCCAATTCTCAGAAGTATCGAAACTTTAAAAAAGTTATATCAATAGCCTGATAATATTAAAACAAAAGGAACAATAATCTGAGATAATAAAATGTGGGTACTATGAAGTCTCAATGACTCGAAACTTCGAAGTGTTGAATTAAAAGTATCGAATTTGAGGGTATCTCGTGTTTCTGTACCTCAGGATGTCGAATCTTTTGTTTCTATGATTTCAGGTCATTTTGTTTTGATTTTTCACAACGTCTGTCCTTTCGTTTCGATACAACAGAGTATCAATATTTTTGTTCCTATATTTCAGGACTTTGATACTTTTCTTTCGATATTTCATTGGCTTAGACCTGTGTTTCCCAATCTTTTTTCACTTTCACACTTTCAAATACCTTCTGCTCCACCCCTCAACTCCAACGTAGATAATCTATAATATTAAAATGCTCACTGAATGAAGTTAAAACTTATTAGGAAAATCACTATAGAACAATTGATAAAACACAGTAAGCAAATTGTTTAAAATACCGAAAACCATGTTCCGCGCCTAGGGCGAATATGAAAGTTAATAAATTGTAATTAATTATTATTTTTATGCAAGGTCTTGGTCGAGATGAAAAAGTTAGATATAACCAGAAGAACAAATAATGGTTATTTCCTCTGGCTCCATCCCTACAAACATTTAATCATCCTTTCAGCAATAACACTATGGTACATAATATATTGTACTCATTGAGACGTCTTGAGCAGCAAGGGAAAAGAGCATTTTTTCTTTAAATAAATAAATAAAAAGTAAATAAAATAACTGGCGCGTCGACCCGGCTGGATTGGAGGCCAAAGTTTCTGGGCGAAAATGACCCTTGATGTTTCCTGTCCCAAGACAATTCAGGGTATAAGTACTGCTATTTAGTTAAAAAAAAGAAAAAAGTATCCAGACTTTTAAAATTATCTCGAACCTGTAAAGTATCGATACCCAATTAATACTTTGAAAGTAATTGGTGGTAAGCACCAGAACAGACAAATGAAATTTGTATTTATTGAGCGGATTATTTCTTTATTTTTTCTGTTCCCTACATGAAATATCGAAAGAAATACCAGTAAAGGATCTATACTTTTTCCGCACTCCTTGACCCCATTGGTTTTTATGTCACACAATACCACGATTAATTTTATTACTATGGCTCATATTTGCGCAACGAGCGGCTGAAAGAATTAGCAACGAGGCCCGCCCTCCAGTATTATTAGGATATTTCCACTCTTTCACACGTTTCCAAGCTGATAAATAGTAGCAAAGGAACCGGTTGTAAGTCGGAAACAAAGGGGGCCTGTTGAAGTGATAATGGGCTATTCAGGCTGAAACGATAACCCTTTTACCAATACGGCTCAAAGCCCGCCGGCGTGTCACTCGCGGAACATGACGGACCAACGATTTTCGAACATGGACGAGGTGGACATAAAATCAGAGCCGGAAGTCGAGACCGTAGAGGGCCAGTGCAAGAGGAGGGTCACACCGAAACATCCCGTCTGGCTCCTCTTCCTCCTCATCCTCAAACTGATCCTCAACGTGAGTATACTGATTCACCTAATCGCTATTTGTTTTACGTCTTACGAAAACGCAGTTAGTTCTTTAGATCGTTTGATTTTGTATCGGTCCAATAGATAATAGACAGGAAATCTCCTGTTTTCCCCTGGAACAATCGGTTTGTCCAATCCATAACAAGATCTGGTGGACTTTAATCATTTTGAAACTCATTAGAAATGATGATGATGGGGTGAGTATGGGTATCTTTCCAAAAGATAGTTCTTACTGCTACAAACTAAGTTAAGTAAGTTTTCGTCGTTTTGGTCTGCCTAGTCACGCTGTTGTCATCATCTCTCATATTTTATCTTTGCCATCTTCAGTAGTTGCTTTGTGCTGATACCTCACCTGGCGACCCTCAATTGAACATATGCGAAAAGACGAAACTAATCTGACAGATCAGAAAGAGTGAGGTTGATCAGAAAGGACCAAAATTACAGCTGATCTCAAGAGGAAATTTTCGCTTTAGATGTACTGTTTCATTCAAGGCATGTATTGGCTCCTTAACGGGAACTAGTAGCCACTCGGTATGTGAAGTGAAGTTGATCACACGCAAAATGCCAAAATATGACGAAAAGCGCCTGATGGATTTACCTGATGGGAAACGACCTAACTATAGGTTCATCCCGCAGACCCCTCACAATTTCAGTTAGTGGGGTTTTCATTTAGTTCATCCTTGTATCGCCTGTTATCTCTGTCTCTAACGTAAATCAAGTACTTTATGTCCTGATGTAGGTGTTCAAGACTGCCAAAAGCTTAAGGGAGATGCTCCATGACCGATCTTTCTTAAAATAATAATAATAAAACAAAAAACTATAGCCAGAGAGGCTGCTTCAACTGAACTAGAATTTTTTTTAAAAACCATAGCTTTCACTAATGGCCAATGTTTGCAACACAACGAATTTGGAACAGTGAGGTGGTACATCGCTTTTTTAACAAATCCTGTACGTAAAGCTCTGATGAATGTGTTTAAGGCAGTCAAAAAGCATCAGGGAGTAGCTCAAGGCCGACCTTTATTAACAAAAAATTAATTATAGCCATCACAAAAGGGCTTTACTTCCAGCATACAAAGCACGAACCTCTTGCTTACCTTGGTACTACATCGCTGTTGATAATGCATTATTTACCCTACCATCCAGATGTCACCTTTACTAAAAAAGAAACATGAATGAAGGACGATACTGACAACATTTTAACGTACTTTTTGATCTGCTAGGTCTCTTCGGAATGCAAATACGGTTTTTACAACGAGTACTGTACTTAAAGTACTGATGAGGTGTTAAAAACAGTTCGACTGAGAGTCCTCATGGCAGGTCTTTATTAAAATTCTTCCCTGAAGGCTTATACTGACAACTTGCAGCGAACATCTAGTTCACGTGGTGCTAAATAATTTTTATGGCATAATTCTTTCCGTAAAATCCAGATGAATGCTTTAAATAGATCCGAAAGCTCGACAAAGATCTATTATAAAAAAAAGGATGATAATTGGACCAATGGACCTACGGGATGTCGAGAGTTCGGTCCCCTCGGCCGACTACAAATAGACCTCTATTCATGAATGGGACAATGATACAAATCTGATGGGGAAAAAAGTTAAAGGCTGGCTTGAAACCCGCTGAGTGTATTTTTTAGTCGACTAAATTAGTTTGCGCTGAAATTTTAAGATGAATATTGGACCTTATGAATTGTAAATTAATAAAAAGCTAGCCTAAATATTAAGAAACCATAAGCTTGATTTTTATGCTGTTTTTCGATAAAGTGTGTCAAAATAGACTGACTCTGGTCCGCCTGTCCTCGCTGCGATCATCTCAATATTTGGTTATATAGTGCTCACACCTTGTCTAATGTTCTGAGTCAGTGGTTGATACGCAGTAAAGCGAGTTTTATATTTTTTTCTCTTTCTGTCTTATCTAAGCTTTTGTCACCGAAGCTCGCGCGAAAACGGTTTCGTCAAAGAGCATACGTAGTCGCGTGAAACGGTGACCCCTTTGACCCAAAAAGTCCTCTTCCGCCTTGTTCAGAACCGGCGGTGGGGCCTCGCCGTGGAGGGGGTCGGACGCGAAGGCGCTACTTCAGTGGTGCCGAAGAGCTGATACGAGTGAGGACATGGCAGACACGAACAACATGGAATCGAGCAAGGGCGACTCGGCGCACGTATGGGTCAGGATCAACCTGCCTTACTTCAGGACGACCCCCGGCATGGTTAAGCTCCTGCAACTGGTACGTCTTTCATGATATCAAATTTCGAAGCCCGTTCGACTTCGGTCTCGATCAGTGTGAAGGTCGGCTTCCAATGGGGCTGCACCTACACGGTTTAAACGTTTCGACACTTATTACTGCTATTGTCATTATTGACTTGTTTTGCCAATAGAACTCTTGAATAAATCAAATGACAGGTTGTAAAAAATATTTTTGACGAAACGCACCGATTTATTAATTATTTACAAAGAAATGTACAAAAATGGAAAGATAAAACGATCCGTAATAACCATATGAACAGAAGAGTTCAACATCTTTGTGAGACTCAATGTAGAAACTATTTCTTTCTAAGACGTCAATACCCAGGTGGTGATAACGTGATAAATTGCACAGCGGACTTCGCAAATGTAGCAATGTTTTCTTTTAAGCACTTTTTCCTAATCGTAAAATATTGAAATCGAACGAATATTGCTGCCCTAGTTGCTTTATGTGCAACTAGGGTGTTGATGCGCAGTTTCTTCATCGTGACAAGTCTACTCAAAGTTTCGGTTGTTCAGTAATGCTTTGAAATGCATATTTGTACTTAATTACAATTTCGAAATAATTCTTATCAAAATTAATTTGGTATCTTATTCTCATTTTTTCACCTAGGATCATATATTCATGTTTTGAGTGTACTTTCTCTATTTAGTTGTCTTATTTTTTTAAAGAAATATTTATCGCGTGAAAAGTTTTGAAAATTGTCCGGAACTACAAGGGTGTGTAGGAAGAGTGAATTCTCGTAAACGGTGGCCTTTTGTAATAATTAACCTAATTGTTTCCATTTAGACTTGGGTGCATATGTTCTTCATTTTAAATTAAATTTGGCAAAGTTGGTTTCTATGGAGACTAAGGGATATTTTTGAACGTTTTTAAAGCAAAAAAAGTGATTTGTTAAATGGATAATTTGGTGACGACAGTCAACAAGCTGCAAGAAGTGGCCGCTCTCGTGGGTCCGGAGGCGCTGCTGCTCCCTCAGATCGTCATAGTCGGGGATCAGAGTTCTGGAAAAAGTTCAGTTTTGGAGGGTATCGTGGGCAAATCTTTCCTTCCGAGAGGGCTCGGACTCGTCACCAGGTGTCCTCTGATCCTGCAGCTGGTAGGCAAGCCGGGCGACGCCACGCGAGCCCTGTTCTCAAGCGACTCGGCCGTTTTCTTCCACGAGAGAGATAAAGTCTACACGGATTTCGTACAGGTGAAGGAAGAAATTTCCCGCGAGACTAACAAGAGGATAAGGGGTAACAAGTGCATCAGCTCGGAAGCGATCATTCTCAAAGTGTACTCAAGCAGCGCGTCCAACCTGACAGTCGTCGATCTTCCGGGTATAGTCAAGGTTCCGGTCGGCGATCAGCCCAGCGACGTCGAAGAACTCATAAAATCTCTGATCTTGAAATACATTCGAAATCCCAATTCCATAATTTTGGCTGTCGTGACCGCGAATACGGACATCGCCACTTCTGAAAGTTTGAAACTGGCGAGGGAAGTGGACCCGGAAGGACAGAGGACATTGGCCGTCGTGACCAAGCTTGACCTGATGGACCAAGGGACCGACGCGAGTGACATACTCTGCGGCAAGATCATCAGCCTTAGGTTGGGCATCGTCGGTGTCGTCAACAGGTCGCAACAGGATTCGGACGATGGGAAAGGCCTGAGCCAGACTCTAAGGGACGAGGCCATATTTTTAAGAGAGAAGTACCCCAAAATCGCTAGTATGAACGGTATCGTCTATCTCTCCCGCAAGCTACATACATTACTTTTGTCACACATCGAGCGGTGCTTGCCCAATCTAAGAGACAGGATAAAAAACAACATAATCCACTATCAAAACAACCTCAAGCTCTTGGGTGAAGATGTCACGGATGAAAACAAAACGGTTTTAGAGCTTCTGTCTAGGTTCTCTACGACCTACTGTTCCGCTGTGACAGGTACACATCACGAACTAGAGACCCGGGAGTTGAGCGGCGGAGCGAGGATCAGTTACATTTTCAACGAGACGTTTGGACGAGCATTGGAGAGGATGGACCCGCTTAGCGGCTTCACGAGGTCTGCCATTATCACCGCCCTAAGGAACGCGGCCGGCGTCCGTCCATCCCTCTTCGTTCCCGAGTCCTGTTTCGAGCTTCTCGTCAAAAAGCAGATACAAAAACTAGAAGCACCGTCGTTGAAATGCGTACGTCTCATTTACGAAGAGCTCGAGAGGATTTTGCACAACTGCGGCCCTCGAATGGAACTAGAGATGTCTCGTTTTCCGAACCTTTACGCCAAAATCGTCCACCACGTGACAGACCTCCTCAAAAGCCGGATACCGGAGACGAACGCAATGGTCAAGAACATCATCAGCATACAGACGGCTTATATAAACACGGCCCACCCGGATTTCCTCAACGACGATAAAATCTCCAAACTGCACTGCAGCGGCGATTTCGGGCGGGAGAAAAGCGTAATGCACCTGGTTCAGGCGGACGGCGCCCAAACGGACGGCACTCCGAAGGACTGCCTTCTCGTCGAGACGCTCATCAGGTCCTATTTCAACATCGTGAAGAAGACCATACAAGACTCAGTGCCCAAAGTCATCATGCACTTCCTAGTCAATCACGTCATGGACAAACTCCTCTCGGACCTCGTGAGCAAACTCTATTCAGGAGGGATACCAAAAGGAATCCTGGAAGAGTCAGACGACACTATAAGGAAAAGGAAGGAAATCGCATCCATTCTCATCGCCCATCAAAAAGCAAACGCCATCCTCAGCGAAATCAAGACCTCGAAATGAGTTCCAAAAGACTTTGCATTAACGTTTAACTATTTTGCAAAAATAAAAACTCTTTTCTGTTATGAATTGTTCCTTCTCTCGTCAGTTTAAGCTCTAATAAAATAATCTCTTCGACAACAGTTTTATGCTTGACTTAAATCAAAGTTGTTCGGATGATCGTCCATTTTAGCTTACATTTGCACTAAAATAAACATTTAAGTAGGGGGTGATGTAGAAAAAATCGGAATGCCTTCATTTGTATAAACTACAATTAAATTGCATGTATAAACAATTAAAAACTACAAAACGTGAGATTTGACATTGAAAAAATTAGAACAAGCGGAATAATATTAATCCTTGTTTGTGCAGCTGGATGGATTTTTTTTCTCGCGTTTACTTTAAATTATAACTTTAAAAAAGACAATAATTGACATGTCACTATTTGATAAAGACGGGATGAGTCAATCGAATAGAATTGGGTGAAGGTAGGAGGTGGATTGATCGCCGGAAGATCAGAGGAGGTACTTCCTTTTAAGGCTGCCCCCCGTTCCACCGACTATTTTTTTTCTTTTATCGAAAAGACGAGCTTACAAACACAGTCGACACTTTAAAACAGGACCGGTGGCCGATTTGGCATTTACACATGTAAAAATAGCTCCATCTAAATATAGCTTTGTCCGCCGATGATGCACTCTTCACCGTCTTGGCGTGTCAGCTCTTGGTGAACTGTTAAATGAGACTTATTAATTAGAAAATTAGGATCAATCCGAAATAGGCCATATGTATTCTCATAAAACGTAGACAGGAACATTCGTGGTGTTAAGGTCACCATAATATGTAGGATAGCTTGTCCTTTACTTATGGTACGTTAAATTTTAACACTCAGAAAAATCCCCCCCCCCAAAAAAAAAACACGAAAAAAGCGTAAAAATTCATCAATTTTAAGTATGTATAAATTTTATTGCATATAATTTTTGTTTACATTTGTATTCAGTTTCGAGAGAATTGCTCTTTTTTTCACCTACTCTGCATTAATTATAAGAAGCATTTTATCTTAAAATATACATTAAATATGAGATAGTTTAGGGTAAAGATATATTTAAACAACTGCAGGCATTATACAAAGCAATAAGGTGTTAAATATTAAATAAATAAGACAATAAGAATGTACAAGGGGTTTTTTCTTCTTAATACGAGGGTTCGCATCAGCAGAGGTCATATAAACCGTCAGGGTGCTGGTGTTTAAAAAAAAGAAAAACATTTTAAGTTTTTTTAAGTAGTGTAGGGCCGCTGGATTCGAACTCGGGACCTTTACCTTACAGTGATAACCGCCGTGTCAACGCCAAAACCGTTGCGGCCACCGACGCCCCCTTTTATGAGTTTAACATCCTATTTACACATTATTTATTACAGCAATTGGTTAAACCAGATACACTGAAATACATTATTTTTCAACCGATCTGTACTTAAAATTTTATGCTAGTATTTACGGTAGTTCACGTCTTCCCTATTAAAAAAAAGTTTCATATGCACATGTGGGCATTTTTGCATGAATTATACAAATTTACAATTATCTATCGATGTGGGTTGTTAAGTAGGTATGTTTAGCATGCATGCAGTCTATCGGAGTCCAACGTGGAAATAAGTCTTGCAGAGTTTTGGTCTACCTGGGGTAAAATTATATTTAGACATGTTTCCCTAAATGTAGCACCTTATGGACTTATGCATAAATAAGTTTTTCTTTTTTTTACTGTGTACACATAATTATTAAAGGCTCTTTAAGATGGTCCATGATTTTATTTACGATGATTGACAATGTAGAGAAAACAGTATTGCCTCAGTCCTGCTATTAGGTTAATTTTTCAAAATATTTAAAACATCTACATTCTACACTTACTGATATTCCTCTGCAGGTAGAATCAACCCAATAAGAGGCTCTTATAAAGGCCGTATCATCAGCAAACAGGGCCAGTTCAGCTGTAGTTTTTAACTTGCCAAGGTATAAAGATGTTAAATAAGGTTGGTCCAAAAAGAGACCCTTGGGGGATCGGCTCTTATACGTCTTAAAGGCGACATGCCATCAATTTGTACAAAGACTGTTGTTTAAGCTATTACTAATTAAATGTGTTAGGTAGTTAGGAAAGTGATATGACATGAGTACGAACCTCTGGTTCTTAACACAGTCAAACGCTTTCTCCGCGTCAATAAATTATTATGAGTCATACACACCTCT